TCAAGGCCTCAAAAAATGATTCAATTGTGTCATTTTACGTCACTGATTTTAGGTTTTTTTGCAAACAGCAAAAAGCTGGTATAAACCTGAGAAAAGTCAAGATAAAGAAAAATCACAGCTACACACATTTTTCAAACATGTATATCAACAGTTGACTGAAGGCTTGAAGGCAACAGTCATGAAATCTGTCGTAAGGTATACACATCATGATTTCAGTTGACAATCATTTCAGATTAAACATTGGGATAAATACAGTTTAGTGTTATCTCATGGTATCTGTTAGAAGTGAAACAATGAGAGCAAAGATACTTCATGATTGTCACTTCAAACGGTCACAAATACGCTGTTGTGTAAACACACTGCATACAATATCAAGGACAAAGGAAAGGGACGTTATTCTCAGTGACAGATGATACCTTTGAATGAACAGCAGACATTTAGCTCTCAAATCTGATAAATGGAAGCTCATCTAAGCATCTTCCAAGATAAAACAAAAAAATGAGCTGATACAAGTTGACAATTATCAATGAGTCTTGATATATCTAGGCTGGGAAGAGACGAGAGTGGGATTCTTCTTATCATCTGAAAGCTTTCCTATAATGTTTTTGCTGTTTGAAATGGTATTACCCTGGGGTAATGGCCAAAAGCACCTCAGTACAATAGCCCCTCTGGACAAAAGCCCCTCGCCAATTGAGGCTTTTGACCTAGGCTGGTTACCCAGTAACTAGGCTGCAGCTAAAAAGGTCTTATACAAGCCTATTCTTGAAGCTGTCTTATCACTGAGTATAGTTTATGAAACATACTCAGACAGGATTGGACCAGTCAACAAACAAGATGTTAAAGAAAATGACTCAGCACTATGTGTCTACAGTATGATAATAGTTTCTACTTGTACTTCAAAACATGAACAACTTGTTCCAGAAGACAACATAGCATTTACCAAATATGAGCTATGCCTAACAGCGAGTCGAAACACAAGATGCTCAATCTTATGATGTATAGTATATACAATCTACAAATCTGATAGAAGATACAAATTAATGTGTATTCTGTCAGTCTTATGTAACAAATACTTATCGTCATGTGGAGACAGGAAGTGGGGTGTTATTGTAGCTGTACACCATCTGCTACACTTGCTACACTATTTCCCACAGAATAGTTCAAATATTCATTTTATTTTCAAGGATGTTTCTCCATAGTGCAACATGGTTTGTGTAATGACCCCAAGAGCACAATCACTGTTTTAATGAGCTGCAATCTTGCAATTATTACTGATTATTTCCAAAAATATCCCATGAATATGCCCAAAGTTCAGTTTGGGGAAACCACTGAATGATCAGTGAGGACATTAGGAACCCACAGCTTATTTTACCCCTGTCACAGAGCATCCCATGTCTTTACTAATGTGTGTTTCAAGACATCTTCAAGAATACCTCTTATATGGCAATCACATATTAGCTCTGACCTAAGACATGTTGTAAATAGGCCACCAAGTGGCTTGTGTGTAGATAATACAGCTAACCATTCTCAGTACCAAACAGATTAGTGATATCATGGTTTGCAAAGCATTGTGACAAAATATCACTGTTGTGGTATCTCCTTTGCATAAATACCTTTGTTGGACATAGGGTCATTTTCAGTAACAGCTAAGCTTCAAAGTCCATACATTTGTACTGTTGACCCTAATATTTTACAATTGTTTGATGACCTGAACTGTCTCAAGAATCCAACAAAATCACAATTGTATGGATTACAACTTCTTCCTTGATGATGTATGACTACGACCAACATACATTGTATGACATGTTCTGACAAAGAGCAGAATAACATCAATATGTAATTGATAGCAAGGGGCATATAATTGGATGAGGCCAGGTGGGATCTTACAGTGTATATATATTGCCTTGTACCCTCTCACATCACCGTGTGTGAAATATGCATGGTGTCGGAAAGAGCACGTTGAATCTCCAAATCATCATCGCCTCTCACATTAGTTAACTAACTTGATATTACAGTATACGGACATATACTGAAATGTCGCCATATAGATATTAAAGACGCTATAATCCATACAATTACATGTACTACTTTGTCATTACCCAACTTCGAAAGATGCCTATCAAACAACTTATAGAGAATCCAAGTCTTGGGTATAAGAAATTCTGATCATTTTCCAATATATAATGTATGAAAGTACACAAAAACAATGTTAATTCTAAAACAACAATATCAGTGATTTTCAGCATTCCTTTATATGTGGAATAGTGAATGAACAAATCTGAGACGATTGTGGTAAAATTTTCACAAATTCACAGATTTAAGAAAATTAAATCAGAAAAGAGCACTTTTAGTCAATTTTCAAAAGATGTGACATAGATTTGCTTAAGACTATGCTTAAAGACTAGGGAGGAAATTGTCCATCTTCAAAAATAAACAAAGAGAATACAGAAAAATACAAATTACAGCAAACCTGCTTAGGATCTGTCCGTACCCTCTTAACTGTACAAGTATTCACTTTTGGTATATGCAACTAGTCTAAACTGATGGGTAAGGAAATTAGAATGTGTTTGCTTTAAACACCACAATCTCTGACACTGACCAGTAAGTAGCTATGCAAATAAAGGTACTATTTTGGTGATGTCAACACATAAACTGTATAAACATGTATAAACTACTTCCAAAATTACTTTGAAATCAGTTTAGGGCAGACAGGTTAACAGTTACACAATATTTTGGGACTTGTTAATTAGTCTTGATGCATATGTTATCCACAAAACAGTAGGCTAGTAAATGCCACATAAAGCACATGACAGGCAATTAAGGGCAACTGGTTGCAACGTGTTGATTGATTGTGCAACACCTACTTGACTGCAATTACTTACAGGGCAATTACGCAAATTGAGGGCAGGCGGAATTGGTAGCCAGAATCCAGGAATTCAGCAAATACATTTCTCTATTAAAATCAAAGTAATTGAATAACCTGAACAGCGAACTGTGACAAGATACAGAGAAACCAACATAACATGTCTCAAGTATTGGCCTGTCTGGCCTTCTTAAACATGTATTTGTGTGTGTTTATATCCTCTTTCAATCATTGGTTTGCTTACAGAGCATTGCAGCAGGGGACATCTGAAATGGGCATCACACATTGCACCAATGTGGGAAATCAAACCCAGGTCACTGGCGTTACAAGCAATTGCTTTTATATCCAGACTACCTGTTCTAAACATATTTCATTATGAAATGGATCTGGATGTTATTATACAATTGGTTGTGATAACACTGAAATCATTCATGCATAAACTATGTAGGTATTTGGTTACAAGCTAAATGTGCGAACAGAGCTCTTGAAGTTTAAATTAGTTGGTATGGATGATGTTTTTAACACTATATGAAAACCTAGTCCAACCAATCTTATTGTCTGGCTATGTTCTTGGGGGTACGAGAAAGTTTAGCAGCAGTAACTCTGTACAATACAGCTGCAAGATTTTTTCTCCATGTGCGTTAAAAACTTCAGATTTACAAGTCTACGGTAACATAGGCTGGTTGTCTCCTTTAACTCAACACAGAATAAAAACTATATGTTTTCAGTAGAAGTGCCACTCAGCAGATGAAAACAGGATTTTTTATTGAGTGAATACTAGTCTCTCTTGACTGTAATGACAGGTAAGCTAGTCGGGTGAAAGGCAGGGGTGAAGTCTACAGGTCTAGAGAAATCACTTGTTTATTTGCTGGCACCAATAACATCATGTTTTAAGAGACATAAGTTAGTGTGTATATTATGGAAACACAACTCTCTCAGTGACTTATTATATCTGTATTATTTGGCTACTAAACTACTACAAGCGAGTCTGGTAATTTCGCGCGTCCGGTAATTCTGCGCAGCTGCAATAGCGTACTTCCGTATCGAAGGTAAACATCGTCTGCTACTACATTTATGCTTGAAATCGGGACATTTCTACAAGGGACAGGATTTTAATCACTAAAGGTAAGTAAATAACAGTAATTATGAAAATTTGTTTTCTTCAGACTTTTCTTCATTATTCATAATTGGATTTAATATGAAACACTCTTCCTTACATTGATGAAGTGATTTTTGAAAATAATCTGGCCCTAATACGCTTCCCTACTTTGGATCTCCAGCTGGATTTTATGCGAATCAGTTGCTGCGCAGAATTACCGGACAGCAAGCGATGTCAGAATGCTGGTAAAGTCAACGTAAAGACTTCCGCCCGTATCCCCCCTCCCCCCCTAAATTTTAACGATGAGGAAAAATTTCTTTGAATGGCATTTTTAGAAGCTGGATATGTCTTTCAGTATGTTCAGATACAAATGTGATCAGATCAGATGAGGAATTATGTATCCAGGTGATATTATTGGACAAGAATGAAATTTAAGGGGGGATACTGGCGGAAGTCTTTACGTTGACTTTACCAGCGTTCTGACATCGCTTGCTGTCTTACCAGCCATACAACAACCAAATGTAAGAATGATTTTATAAATCACTTCCTCAAAAGGAGGAGAGGTTACATAAGGTGTGTTTGCTCACCTGGCTCCACAGGTATACTGACATGACAACCAGATTCAACAGGTCAACTGATCTAAGTTAGGATAACACATCAGTGTGAACGCCATTGATCTCAAAACATGCACTAGGTTATACTGTTTGGGTGGTTCGCAATACAACCTATCCGCTCAAAAACTGTGTTTTTAATTGATTGTGTAAGAGGCATGTGGGGGTTGTATGTATGGCCTTGAATGCTCCCAACCGGCGACCGGACACAATCGTGCTTCACAATGATCGGAGTCCTACATTACATAGCACATGTAGGAAAAGTCTACTCAACGATGTCCATGAGAGAATCAGTATATTGTATACAAGTATTTGTCGTCTTTTCATACACAGAAATGTCTATCAGATCACGAGACCCCAAAACACGCAACTATTGCCGAATGACAGTTCAAATCTAACACACGCGACATACATGTACAAATCTTACCTTTCGTACAAATATCGCACCACGAGCATCAAAAGTCCCACTGCAAGAGACATATTAATATCTGCAACTTGTGGTAGATAGACATCATTGTCTTTACTTTGAATATCTGACCAAGTATATCCATCAGGCAGCCAAAACTGAGTACTCCAAAATGTATCGCACAGCGTTTTCCATTGGGCGGCCATGTTTTGCGGTGTAAGGTTTGACAACTCTCTGTGCTATTTGGAACCTCGCCTGAGTTCAATCAATGCAACACACCTCGTATGACTCGGGCATACCAGCTTACTGGCTACACAAACCGGTGTGCGCATAAGGCTCACTCGTTTGACGTGTGCACGCATGTTTCGTTGCTTCGCGACAGTGACTCACTGCTATTTATACAACTGTTGACATTTTATGTCTTGGTGTAAAATAATGAATTGGTTAGCTTAATGTCAGAGTAGCATTAATTTTCATTAAGACTACATATCAGTGGCGCTCAGATAACGGTACTCCAACAAATTATAACTTCCTCGACTGTATATATTCGCCCGCGCGCGAGTGTGTGTGAGTGAGAGGATATTCACGAAAAAGAAGGAAATATCAGAACAAAGATAAGCGTCTGTAAAAAAAACGTTTGTAAATAAAACGTCACACAAAAACTCATCGAATAGTGAACATAAATTGACATAGTCAGTCATACAGACCCTGAAACAAATATATCCAAGAAAGCTCATGAATGCAAGTCTAGAATATGTGGCAAGTCTAGATTATATTACTACAGTTTCTGAAAATAAAGAAAGTCTCTGGGCTCCTTTTCATTATATTTTATGATTATTATTTATGAACCGTTTCTTCTGTAAAATATATTCATTTCAAAGAACAGATGTTAGTCTATTTAGAACTGGCGATGCAGTGTCTCTATGCTGGCTATAGACTAACAACTAGTCTCTAAAATGAACATTTTTTTTCATAATGTTAAAAAATAATATAATAAACAGGAGCCCTGAGACTTTCTTCATTTTCAGAGACCTGAAACTGTGGAATCGAGACTTGCCACGTATTCTAGACTTGCATGGGATTTCTTGGATATAATTGTTTCAGGGTCTGTATGACAGACCACACTGGTTACTGGAATATCATAATATTATGTTAACGTGCACAGTGTTTTTGTTTTGTTTTCTTCCTCAGTTTGTTATTGTTGTTGTTTAACACCGCACTCATCAATATGACAACAGTCCTTAAATAATCAAGTCTGCACCAAACTGTCCAGTGACTGACCCCATGCAGGAGCATCGATCGACACAAATGGGACAGGAGGAGAGGCATCAAGCATGTCAGCAAATCTGACCATCGGTTACGTTAGTCGCCTCATACGACAAGCAGCGCCGGGTTGCTGAAGACAAATTCTAACCAGGATCTTCACGGGTAATTTTGCAGTGGACGCATGATATATATGTTCCACGCGTTTCAAAGTCTGTGATAAGCAGAATATAGAACCGGTACCGACAAACCTAGCCTTGCTCCAAGGCTGTACATACTGAATGCCGAGCCCATCGTATAGTACTTCTATCCTTTAGAGAGACACGTGTAGATTAGCGGACAGTGCACCAGACGGTTAGAGGAATATTTATATTTTTTTAGAAATTAATTAAACCACTAATTATTACTTTCTTAAGTGGCATTTAGAAGCTGGTATGTTGAAGAGGAACACTTTTTATGGATAGACTGCAATAAAGAAGTTGTCTATCCATAAAAAATGTTCCTCTTTACTAATTACAAATACAAATATATGACAACTGTGCCAAGGATGCATAAAAACAACGCTTGCCTAACAGCTTGTTCAGGGCAATACATGGAGATTATTACACGAGCAAGTGTGCCATACGACTTAAACGAAACCAGTGTTACATTTTGTATTGCCCTCGCTATCGCTCGATAATTTTCCACGGATTTCGTAGAAGTCCGACTCGTATGGCACAGTTGCTCGAGTGTAATAATGTCTTCATCATCCATTTTATTCATGAACATTTGTTTAAGAAATACACTTCGCCCTACCACCATGTATAGTGTAATAAAACACACTTTCGCCCTGAACTATTATAACGTTAAAGCACTCGGACGTTTTACTTTTGCCCTGAACTATTATAGTTAAAGCACGAGGACGCTTGCGTCCGAGTGCTTTAACGTTATAATAGTTCAGGGCGAAAGTGTGTTTTATTACACTATACATGGTGGTAGGGCGAAGTGTATTTCTTTTCTAAGATGCCAAATTTAATACTTTCTAAAGATAATTTCGATTAATTTAAGGCAGAAAACAAACGACGGTGTCGGTGACCTAAATTAAGAATCCTCGCACAGGGCTAACTGGCGCGCTGTTCTATTGATGTGTCTGCCCCCTACGTTAAGACGAACGTTACCAGAAAAAACCAAATGATAACAGTTTGATGACGGTTTACGTTCGAATTAAATATCTTCTCTGAATTATTTTAATTACATCTATCATTAACGTAAACCATATGGGGCAATATGAACGTTGCATTTCTACTACCAGCGTAAGTTTAGATCAGTACATCCAGAGGAAGTTGAGTAGTCAAGCGACATTCCACAATTGCATTGTGGGAATGTAAACATTACGAACGTTACCGTGTCGCTGAAAACTTGTGAGTCGAAATGACACATTTTAACCGTCGTAAAACATAAACGTAATGTTTCCACCAGTGATGTTAGCTGCGTGAAGCAACAGCAAACCAAGAAACTGGATGCAACGGTGTAGTTTACTGTAGGAGGCCGTACGAGGCGATGACAACTGACATGCATCGTGACGTCGCTTACATTGTGACGTAATGTAAAATGGTTCAATTACGAGGGGGCACACTAGAATGGCGCAGTGACGGGACAACGTCATTCAATTGTTACGTCATCAAAAAACTATACCTTTATTGTCTGATAATGTATTTTTTTTTCGATTGTTCTAACAGCTAGGCATCTTAGAATGCAGTATAACACGGTAAGCAAGTGTGATTGCCCTGTTTATTGACGTCACGTTCCATTGTTTTAATGACGTCATGTAACATGTAGCGCTTTTAAAGCAGTAATGGTCAAGTTATTTAAACAAAACATATTTTCATAATAACAGGGACCTTCCACTGAAATCAGGATCTAATGTACGACTACAACATGATGCCTGTACTCAAATAGTGGCACCTCCGGGTGTTCGTAGACTAGTAAGGGCAGCCTGTTCCCCTCGTTGCCCCAATCACAAACAGGTGTATGTCAGGTGTTTACCTGGAACAACGTGGAGACAAATGGTAAAACATCTGTGGTCCTGTGCATAGAGCTCAGGTCACAAATCAGTTGAACTTAACCAACGTAGGGCGCGGAGAGTTCTTGGATGGGTGACCGTATAGTTGCCAGCTTGACACCTGAGAGTTTCTAGGACTTCAGTCCTGCTCCAAAACGAAGCAAATGTGATATATGTAGTCTCACCCTAATCAAGTGAGTTTGTTCAAGATTGATTCTGTTCACCCAGCAGAAAACGGGTACACGGCGGGATATGACATGTGACAATTGACCTTCTAGTGCCTCACAACAGCTTGGCTTATCCGGGGTAATAATGATCTGATTGTGCGCTTTGAGCAGGATATGAAGCCTGAAAGGTTTGTTATAGATAATCAGCATTATTGGTATTATCATTTAAAATTCAAAATAATGAATTGCATCTAATATATTTTTGGTCACTGAATCATAAAACTGGGACCGTCCTTCACACGTCTACAATAACACATTGTGGAAGCCTATGAGAGGTCTAGAAGGCTGTAACCCTGATCAAACATTAGAGCAAATGTTGTATGATGTTCTTTGAATTCATCTTTGAACGAGAATTCTCGATTGCACCTTGTGAAAAAGTGACACAGTTTTATATAAAGTGAAAAGGTACAAAGTACCCCCTGTCCACTCCGTGAACAGCTCGGACAACTGACCCTCAGCTCTGACAGATCCTAAGCAGGCACTATAGTGGATGAGTCCACCTTCCAGACAAACCACTCCTCTTGCCTGTCTCATGGAGGACTTCTTACAGTCTTGGGGAAACGTTAGGTATGTGGATCTAAGTATGAAACAGATGAGGCGGTTTCATTGGTCCAGTTCAGGTCATGTTAACTAAGTGAGACCTTACTCTGCTTCCAGCAATAGTGCAACAATGGCGTGGAGGCATATCTCGGCTTGGATAAACCTCAGGGTCCGATACCAACCAAGTAGGGAATAGAAGACGGTTCAGTGTGATTCTTTTAGTGAGCCCCCAACTCGGCGGATCTCCACTGCGGAAGGTGGCAGTAGACCTCCAGCGCTACATGTTACATAGACCTTGAAAAGAATGTATTTTCATATGTTCTTAGTAAATGATAGCTAGATAGACAGATGATCCATAACAATATCATCATAAATATATATTTTAGTAACGAATAAACGTACAAGTTCACAGTGCTGTGACTTTTGACGTTGAGTACAATGCATATAGAAAGTGTTAGTAGCAATATAGTATGACCAGACATTATTGAGAATTTTAGGAATATGTTTAATTGAATTTCTAGTAAAAACAACCATGAACAGATATCAAGTGCTTGGTTTCATTCAAGAGAGACAACTCCGTTAATCCTTTTTCATTAGTTTGTGAAGAGTTATCCCCCTTTGTTGACTTGCTAGCAGACGACATTTTCAGTGATCCTCAGTATGGATGTTTTAGAGGAGCGGAAGTTGATTTTAGAGCATTATAACAAGGACATAAGATCAGCTAAAGGGATTTCAAGTAGAACAGGCATCCCTTTGTCCACTGTTTATCGTGTATTGAAAAATATTGCAAATGGATATGGCATTGTGCACCAGGGAGGCGCAGGTAGGCCCAGAAAATTGACTGTCGATGACAGGAGGCGGCTTGGTATTCTTGTTTCTAAAAACAAACGAAGGAGTTTAGAAAACTTAAGGCTGGATATGATTGATAGAGGAACTGTGGCTGTCTGTAAGGAGACAATTAGAACTGAGCTGCATGCAATGGGTTGGCAGAAAAGTCGAGGAATTCCATCACTGATCATGAAACCTGAACTAAAGGAGCGAAGGTTGAATTGGTGCTTACAGCATAGAAATTTTAACTGGGACAATGTGATTTCCTCAGATGAAAGTTCTGTGTGGCTGTTTCCTAATACACTGAAATTCTGGACCAAACAAACTGAAAAACCTTTGTATCAGCGCCCAAAGTACAGTCCGAAATTTAACGTGTGGGGTGGCATATCTGTGTT